AGGTACTTGGCTTGCATGTCAAATGTGCAACCCTGCATTTATTTTCCCTTTTGCAGGGTCTGCAATGCGGGGCACGCAGCTCTGCAGTGTGCTCAGCCTCACTGTTCGCTGCAGAGCTGAAGGTGAAGCAAGTGGCTTTTCTCTGAGAGGGAAATTAGTTCAGGAGGGAGACCAGACTCTGATCCACCGTGCACTGTAGGTGCTCATGCACGTTTCTCCAGCTGCTGTCTCACTGCTGGTAAATTCACAGGCATAAGCCTCCAGCAACAAAAAAGCTAAAAAACTGAACGATGGCAGGTAAACGGGGAAGTTACTGCTGCAGTTGCTTGAAGCAAGCATTTTATGATAGCACTGTGAAAGAAAGAGACCTCTTGGCCTTAATTCCTGTAGCAAGGACTGAACTTGGCTGGAATCACTTGGCGTGAAAGTGCATTTGGTTTTTAAGAGCAGAGCATAGATTTGGCAGGTGGAACAGTTGTATGGTCTGTCACCTCTTAAATGGCTTCCTTTAATAGAGTCTTTCATGTGACTTGTCTAGTTCATGACTATTTATTACAGTAACTTCATACTATTACTATTTACTACAGTAATTTTACGGAAATCCCTACTGACTGCAGTAGTCATTAGTCTGGGTCTCTGGAGAGTTGGCAGCCTGCAAGACAAAATGCTCTTCTGAGAAGCCCAGAGGAAAGACTCATTTCCCACCTCATCTGTCAAGAGCTGTTCCCCTTTCTCGTTAGCTTTGTTTCTGAAGAAAATTAGGTTTATGGATGATGCTAACTGTACATGTGCCAGTCAGTCCTTCCCTTAATAATATTTTAACCTTCTTTGTGACCAATTAAAAGGTTAAGTACAAATGGTATAATTCTAGTACTCCAGAAGTCACCTAATCTTAAAGCAAATTCTACCACTTCTCTACCAACAGGAGGACGTGCAGGCAAGAAAGACCCCATTCATATTCAAATAACCACTCTCTTTTTTTAAGACTTCAAGGAAGCCATCTAAAGTTCCAGATACAAGATAAAAACCTAAGGAAGTAATGAATTCCTGCATCTGAAATTGACTGTGTATGTCCCTAAAATTGAGCCTTTGTCTGTAAATGATCTTAAGTGACAGGCAGGACTAAAGTTAGAACTCTATTGTAGATTTTTGTTTTAAGCTCTGCCAGAGTTAAAAGTCTTAAGGAAGGTTGTTTTGCTTTTGCTGATGTACTGAAAAGATCAGATCCTGCAGCCAATGCTTTACTGACCAGCTTCACAATTTACAAGGCAGACAAGAACACAGATGATTCTGCATTACAGCATCAACTGCTGCACCTTTCCTTAGTTCCTGGAAAACATCACAAAATACATTCATGAGGAGCTAAGCATGAAACCAGTGGGTCAGATTCTCTTGCATGGGAGTGGAATTTGGCCCTGCAGCTACTCTACTGAACTCCATAGGATTACACAGACACTTTTATTTCTTCTTTTTTTCCTAGTTCACCCTGCTTTTCCTCTAGAATACGTGGTCAACCCAGAATACCTGGAGAGAGAACCTCCGAGGGTGTACCCTGGGTGTTCTGGGGTATACCCTTACCACCCATTTCCCATGGGATCTGCCAGCAATCAGTCCCCTGCAGCTACTCTACTGAACTCCATAGGATTACACAGACACTTTTATTTCTTCTTTTTTTCCTAGTTCACCCTGCTTTTCCTCTAGAATACGTGGTCAACCCAGAATACCTGGAGAGAGAACCTCCGAGGGTGTACCCTGGGTGTTCTGGGGTATACCCTTACCACCCATTTCCCATGGGATCTGCCAGCAATCAGTCAAGCTGTCAGGGAGCACCCTCACCTCCAGGGATACCACTGCACAGAGCTTTCCGACCCATTCCTAGCAACCATGGGCCAGGGAATGCAGCTCGTGTGTCAGTAAGTAGTGGTCCTTTAATTACCTCTGGAAATAATGCTCTCTTTACTTTTAGCTGCCTCTTTGCTGTTAAGGTACCATGAAAAGTTACCATGCTTCTCAGTTACTTTGCAGCATTTTGATATATTCTGCTGAAGAAAACCTTAGCAAATGGTAATGTTATCAGTCTGACCTGAACCCAGAAGAGTAAACCTGTGCACTTGGAAGGGGCCAAATTTTGTGAAGTGTTTTGTGGCTTACACATCCTGCTAACATCTGCAACAGCCTTTTGGAATGATGGCAGTTGGACACTTAATATGGTCATGTTGTGCATTGGGAGGTTCCTCTTCCATCCAAGACAAAGGTAATGGGGAGAGAGTGTCTTGGCTTGGCCAAGGCACCACAGCCTCATAGAGAAACGGGAAAATCAGCTTCAACAAGGAGGCGAATCAGCACGGTTGGGTATTCCTCTTTTGAGACAATTTGTTTCTCAAAAACATTGGAAAACTCTTGTGGTTACCAGAAGTTTCAGATTAAAAATGATGTTTAGCATCATAGAGCCCACACAGAGCTTCAAACCACACAGAGATGGTAAGAAACAAGATGCTGAATTGCCCGTCATTCGTAATGGGGTGCGTGGGCACTTCCAGTTTCTTGCAGTGCTGTCAGTCGTGTTGGTTTAAACTGGTGGTGTCCAGTTTTTGTACCACACTTGGGCACACGATCAGATTTCCTGCTGCCATGCGCCGTTCTGTCTGCATTGAGTACAATACATCAGCTCTTTTTACGGTAGAGTGATCTGCCTCGAGACTGCTTGATTTACTACGCTTGCCTAGAAATTCAATGTCACATTTTAGGGGTTATTGAGAAAGAGGGTGGCTAGCAGCAGCAGCAGCCTGAGGTCCAGATAAATGATCCTGGTGGGATGGATATGGCCAGATTGGGAAATGGCTTTTCTAGACCATCACTGTACTTCTCAGTCTCAGCGTGTGACACCATGCACAGGCTTTGCACGTGCTAATACGTGTGGCAGCGCATGGCCCCAGAATGGACCAAAAATGTAATGTTCACAGGTAAATACTGAAACAGAAATTGTTTGATACTGCGTATGAATCCTGGAGAGAGTCTTCAGATGAAAGATGCTTTGCTTCATGTGTTTCTGCAGATTCCAGGTGGAGGTGGAGATTTCCATCAGCGATACTATGCTCCTCTGCCTCAGTTCATCCCACCAAGATTTTTGCCAGGGATTCATTACGTTCCACCTCCTCTTCCACTGAATGTGTTGGCTGAGACAACCAAGCAAGCACGTGGTAAGGAAGCATGAGATGAGCCCTGGGACATTCTGGTTTCAGTACCTAACCACAGAGGTGGAAACCCCAAGAAACCCTGATTCTGGCTGGTTTTTCAGGTTTCACACATGCCTGTGATGGAGCCAGGACTGAGATCCTGAAGTCCCAGGACTGACTGCCAGCTTGTACAGCTCTGGGCAGCACTGACTTAGGGAAAGCAGCCTCCCATGCTTGGGCTTTCCAGCTGACAAGCACCTCAATCTCATGCAGATGTTGGAGGCCCCAGGACTGAGCGCCATTCTGAAAATGAGAATATTTTTCTGAATAGCTAGTCTGGGGGGCTTTATTTTAAAAATTATTTATTGTACTCTTGCAATTTACACAAGCGCTTAACATGAACAATACGGCATTTCTTGCTCATCTGAAAATCCTGCTTTTTAATTGGTGTCAATAAAAGACTGAACCTTCCAAACCTCAAGTTATTTTACTGAATCTTACAGGATTTAAAATTTCTGGCCTAAGTGAAGTCTTTGTGCCCTTCTCTTTTGGGTCTCTTTCATGTATTGTGCCTACAGGTGGACATATTTGTGATTCTGTTTGCAAGTTTTTCGTTTGGCTGCAGCTACCTGTGACCACAAGAGGGTAGAGCTGCGCAGAGAATTAACCACTAGCGCTGCCTGAGCGAGCAGCCAGTTTCATTTTAAATTCGTGTGGAAAATGCAGGTTAAAAAAATACAACTTCATTTCTTGTCTTGAAGATGAGAATAAAAAATTGTTCATCTGACTGCTTATAAACATATGACAATAATCACCCAGTGAAAAATCTTTTGTATAAGAGGGAGGAGAAATAGAGGTGTGCAGTTGTCTAATTTGAATTGAAAAGATGTTGAAGCATGGCTGAAACAACCAACTGCTGTCTGAAGTGTGTCAGTTCAGAGAGCTGCAGCTCTGGATGTCAAGCACCTGTGAAGTAACTGGGTTGAAAACCAACGTGGATTGACAGAAGTCATTTTGCATTGAGAAGTGACCTCTGGAAATGTGATTGGTAACAGGTGTAATGCAAACTGAATTACAGGGTTTGAGGGTTTTGGCTTGTTTGTTTGTGTTTAACTCTGACCTTTTTCTATTCTTCATTTTTCTTTCAGCTACTGAAGCTGACAGTCAGGATTCAGAGGTGGTTCGTGAGCCTGGCCAACCAAGCGATGTGGAGCCTGAAGATTAACTGAGAGAGGGTGGGAAGACAGTCTGGGTTGCCGATTTCCTAAGAACATGATTCACTGGATTCGGCAGGGCGAGGGAACAGGAGGTGCTGGTGGAATTGGCAAGAACGGTGTGGGAGAAATTTGTAGAAAGGTCTGGTACAGGCTGAAATCCAGTGCCTCTGTATTGTTCTCTGGGTGAACTGCCTGTGAGGTAGTTAATTAAAAATGAAAGGTGCATTCCTCTACTGTTTTGCCTAGAGGAATTGGTTTTGTATTAAGTAGATCAGTTGTTAATGTTTGAATTTGCGGGGGACTTTTGTACGATTAAAAAATACATTAAACTGTTGGTACGGTTTTGATGATTTGAGGCTTGCATATCTACATGTAATTTTTCTAGCCAAATGTCAGGTGTGTTGACCTGAACAGCTCTGCATAACAAACTGGTCTAGAGAGAGCTTTTTGGGTTCAGTCTTCTACTGCTTTCAACTGCTGCTGTAAAGGTGAGCACAGTAAAATGAACGTTCTTCTTTTCTGCTACTTGCACTAACAATCCCTTGCTCAATGCAAGATGTAAAGAAATTACAGTAAGCTGAAATTCTTTTTTCACGTAGCAGATGATCTGTTGGGATGCTTTCCAGCATTCAGCCGGGGTTTTGGAGGACAGGGAGTGCAAGTGGCGAACTTAAAACTGCCAAGAGGAAAAACTGAAAACCACATCTGTCTATAGCAAATAATGTGATGTACAACTTGTTATATACTGGATTTACAACAGGATCTCTGCTCCCAGGAGTGTCCCAAACCTCCTTGTAAAACCGCTGTCTGCTTGGGAAGATCTGAATACTTCTTTAAGGTGTCTGAATGGAGCAAAGCTCTTTTCAAAATAAAATAATCTACAGATAGGAATACTAGCAGCACCCACAAAACAGGTTCCTCAGTGGATGGAGGAGTTAATATCTACATATAAAAATCATTATTAAACAAAATATAAAGATTTAAGGAAATAGTAATGTACAAGATGAACAGTTGAACAGTTTTCTTCACAGATCTTTTTCCAAAGTCATATTTGGTGTTATATTACACTCCTTAAATCTCAAAGCAAGATGGACCCCAGCCCATTTCACTGTAATGCGCAGCCATTGCAGAGACACTGCACACACAGTTCTGTTTTCTCTGTTTTGCTGGGCCAGCGACCGCTTCCAGATTGCCAAGACAAACTATTTTCTTTTTTTTGCGGCATCTTTTTGAACCATCTGTGAGTGAACCAAAGCCTTTCCTTTGGCTGTTTGAAGGATGGAATGGCACGCCAGTGGGAGGTTTCTCACTGTATTACTGCAGACCACTGTTGTCAGGAAGGATATAGTGAGTTTAAAGAAAATCCAGAGCAAGGCAACCTAAACTGAACAAGCACATGGAGGAGTTGCCTTACAAGGGGAGTCTAAAAGTAGAGTCTTCAGTTTGGAGAAGAGAAAGCTGAGGGTGGATATGACTGAGTTTTAGAACGTGATTTCAGCTGTGGCAAAGTAGATGCAAAACCATTACCAAACCTTGCTATTTTCATTCATGAGGGTGTCTCCGTTTAAGGCTCAGAGAGCAGGATTCTCTGTTGTCCCCTGCCCTCCCAGGGGACGATTAAAAAAAAAAAGAGAATAGAGAAAAAGATGCTTTGCACGAGGTTGGAAGTTAAGACTGTAACAAATTTAATGAAAAAAAAAAACAGGGGAAAGGAAAAGGGAATTAATAAGGGACAAAAGATATTGAACTCTATACAAAACCCCATCCCAGCAGCGCCTTGTGGCCGCTGTGACCGCCACCAGGGACCGCAGCGGTGCCGGGAGCGGGTGGCG